ATTCGACTCGATCGAAAATTCTCGGTTCCAATTGGGGTGTCCTCTTTTTCCCGGGGAAGTGAAGATAAATATATATAGGCCAATTCTCTAAAAAACAAGAGATAACATCCAAACAATAACATTCGACAAATACATAGACAGCAGGAAAATCACACAATGAAGGACAAAAGAGTAATCGAGTTATAAATATAAAATGGATGCTGCAGTGTTAGAACATTACTGACTTAGGACAGCTATTATATAAAAATAATTTATATAAAAGTGGGGTTGAACATGTTTTTGGCCACCCAAACCCTTTCCCCCCTTTTTTGTAAATAACACTGAGCAAAACCAATAGGAAATAATGGATAGAAATATCTAATTCCATTACAAGATAGGGGTAACTTACCTAAAATTGCACTTACAAATGCAAAGCCCGCGTTTAAATCTGTGAGTGCACAAAATTAATTTTGTTACCAGATTCTATACCTAATACAGATTTAAATCAAAAGAATGGCTAAAATGTAGCACTTAACAAAAGAATAAAAAGAATGGAAATACAAATTAATAAGAGTTGCATATTATAGCATAACTATAATAATACGTAGTAAATATGAATAAAATAATAGTAAGTAATTTCTAATCTAATATTAGATTATGGAGATAACTATAACAATAAAATATTTAAGTTTATAGTAATAAACTATTATCAATCTCATAATTTTAATCCTAACTAATTTGAATAGCTTTATTTATATAACTATTAATAAAATTAATTGGGTATTTCTGTGGATTTAAGCAATATTTAGTAAAATGTTTATAGTTATTTATAATGTCTGATTTTTTTGACACAAGAAATTTATTACGTTGTATATAATTAATAACAATATTTCTGAATATAGAAACATGTACATTACTCTCCCAATGAGGAACTTTTATAATATTGAAATTTAAAAATTCTTCTCTTTTATCATAAATATTAGAAACTATTACATTTTCATATAATTTGACATGTATGTCAAGAAAATTTGCTTCATTGTTGTTATTATTTGTCTGTGTTAAATTAAGATATTGTGGATAAAAATTAATGTTAGGTATAAAATTGGCTTGTTTGCCTAAAATGATTATATATATATTGAGAATTTTGAAGGCGGGAATGATCTGTCCCGTTCTGTATATTTCTAGACAAAACATTTTTGAATCCGTTCCTACAGAAAGCAAAGATTCACTGACACGGGGATATAGCTCAGTGGTAGAGCATTCGACTGCAGATAGGGAGGTCTCCGGTTCAAACCCGGTTGGCCTCTTCTTTAGGGAAGTGGAGAGAAATATTTTTTGAGAACTTCAACGGCGGCGATGATCAGTTCCGTTCTGTATATTTCTAGCAAAGCATTTTGGTATCCATTCCAAAGGAACGCAAAGCAAAGATTCGCTGACGCGGGTGTATAGCTCAGCGGTAAAGTATTCAACTGCATATTGAAAGGTCTCCTGTTCAAACCTGGGTGTCCCTTTCTTTTCAGGGAAGTGAAGAGAAATATTTTATTGAGAGTTTCGAAGGCGGCAATGATCTGTAACGTTCTATATATTTCTAGACAAAGCATCTTCGCATCCGTGACGGTATGCGCGCGCATCATAAAAATTCACCCTCATCCTATTTCTCTCACGCCCCAAAAGAAGTATAATTTCAAAAAGTAAAACGCAATATATAGTATGAGATTTTGCTTAAAGTAGTGGCATCTGCTTTTACTAAAACACTTGTAGTTTTTGTTTTAAGGAATGGATAACAATAAACTTGATATTTTTATAAAGCTAATAAAATGGCCTATAAATGAAATCATGCAAAATTGCCAAATTTCGGCAAAATCTACGATTTTAGGGTAGTCGGATACCAATTCACCAGATCGAAAACTCCTAAATATGAGGAAAGAGCGAGATGAAATAGAATCCGTAACAACGCAGCGTAGTGAATTCATGAAAGGATATTCAATAACTTTGGTATTTGAAATTTCATTAGCCGTTCATCTTCCGGTATACCTAAATATCTGTGAGTTAGGCCATTGAATAAGTGGTTCGAAGTGGTCGGGGAAAATGTTTTCACTACTTCTCGGGCCTTCGGTCGCTATCAAAAGAAAGACAATTAAATTCAAATGATTTCTGATCTGAAAGTCAACGTCGTCTGTACCTAGTGGTCAAGGTAACGTATAGGGTCCCCCGGTGATTCCCTGCTTGCCTGGCAGTGCAGAAGGCCCGAGCCTCGTAAATGCGAGGCCTTATCTTCTACTCTGAAAGGTAGAAGTAAAATCGAGCTTCTGTCTTCCCAGTTTAATTTCAGGCCGGACGCCAAAGGCCCTCGAGTAACTGACCGGTTCGACGTTAATATTGACTCATCTCACTCCGTAAAGCAGCCAATGTAAAAATCTGAACCTTATAAATATTCTTGACGGACTTGTCCTTCCGGAGAATTTTTTAAATTTATTTTTTGTTATATGCGTGAATGAGAATAACGAGTAACTGATTTATTTGTCAGAGGGTGGAAAGGTGTAGTATCTCGTGGAGAGTCTGTTTTTGTCATCAAAAGCCAATATAAATAAATTGCTTCCCTTTCATTTAAATTTCATGTATCTAGGCTACTTTACTCGTTCCATGAGTTCGGGTAAGTTTATACCCCATGACGGAAATTCTCGAATAATTACCGGCAGTGCATGGGAAAGTGGTGCCGAAGTGCTGTATTTCCGAATGCGTGTCGAAATATTACACGCTAAAATCCCTCGTGTTGCTTCTAACGGTAATACCTTTTAAATTTAAAGAAACCAAGAGTGCATACTTTTTTATATTAAGTAAATATATTTTAGATTTTGATTGAGTTTTTACGCACGTGAAATTAAAAAAAGATTCACTTCTCCGAGAAACTAGAAAGAAAATATGACACGTTTAATTCTTTAATGAATAAATCGATTCTAGTTTTAGTATCAAAACATAGTAAAATTTATTTATTTATTTTAAGATGTGAATGAAGCAATGGAAATTATAATAAACCACTATTCATGTTAGAAAAATTTGCCTTTTTTCTTCGCTTTATGTTAAATAAGTATTGACCAATATACAAGAAGTTCATTTTGAAATTACAACATGGTTCTTCCCGAAGATATTTTGAATCAACACGTGCATATTCTTTCCGATGAAAAGCCTCATATTTGTGAAATATGTCATATGACTTTCCCTCAAGATGTTGACTTGAGAGCACATCGGGTTCTTTATACCACCGAAAAGGCCCAAACTTGCTAAATTTGTAACACTACTTTCTCTCAAGCTTCTGTTTTAAGAAGACATCGGCTTATTCATACCAAGGAAAAGCCTCACAGTTGTGAAATATGCAACAAAGCTTTCTCCCAAATTAGTACTTTAAAAAAACATTTGCTTATTCATACCAAGGAAAAGCGTCATGTTTATGAAGTATGCAAAATAGAGCATTCTCGCAAAGTAGTATTTTAAAACGTCATTTGCGTGTTCATATACGAAGGAAAACCATGTCTGTGAAATATGCAAACAGGGTTTTCCTCGAAGTGACAATTTAAAAAAACATTACCTTATTCATACCAAGGAAAGGCCTCATAATTGTGAATTATGCAATAAGTCTTTCTCTTCAGTTTATGATTTAAGAATACATCTACGTATTCATACCATAGAAAAGCCTCCCAGTTGTGAAATGTGCAATAAAGCTTTCTCCCAAAGCAGTACTTTAAAAAGACATTTACTTATTCATACCAAGAAAAAGCCTCATGTTTGTCAAATCTGCAACAAGCCTTTTTCTCTAAGTGACAGTTTAAGAAAATATTTGCGTATTCATACCAAGGAAAAGCCACATGTTTGTGAATTCTGCAACAAAGCTTTCACTCGAAGTGACACTTCAAAAAAACATTTGCGTATTCATTCCAAATAAAAGCCTGATGTTTGTGAAGTGTGCAATTAAGCTTTCTCTCTGACAATGGTGATTTGAAAAAAAAATTTGCGCATTCATGTCAACTGGAAAGATTGGTTTTGCGATATTTAGATCTAACTATACTTTTCAAGACAGAAATTTATTAAAAATGTAAGCAAATGTGTCTGTTTAAAGTGGAGAATGTTTATATTTTTAAAAATTTTAGATGGTCTTCTTTCATAAATCATGAGTTTTATATTTAGAAGGTAAAGTAGGTATGCGGAAAAGTCGATGAAGTGATTATACTTTTGAGTTACTTATTTTGACAGAGAGAAGTGCAATTATGGACTTAATAATAGAAGATTAGACTTATACTTTTCGTGGTCATTTTACCTCAGTATTGTATTCTCATTTATAACCTAACGTTTTTTATGACGTGAATGTATTACTTTTGACAAAATAAATTTTATTGTGTTACTGGAAGAAATATTACTTGTAAATTTTTAAATCTAGCACTTTAGTCGCACGTCCATTTAATCCCCGGATTTTGATGCAGTACTTGAAATGTTTCTGAATTTTACGAGTGAATCTTTAGGAGGTTTTGTGAATTTAAAATGATGCATTTTTGGTAGATTTAGGTAAATTCTATTCTACACTTTATTCAAAACTACAAATTAAGGTATTTCACACAAATAACTTTAATTAGTTTTTCGAAACTCAGGTGAACGTGGAAGGATATATAATTCTTGCTATAGCTTACGTGTATGTATTTAAATTGAGATACTTATATTAAAAATAGTAAATTTTCTTCCTTTTATATAAACGAACTATAAATGCAAGAGTAATATACGTCTAAAACCTAAATAAAATCTAAATGTAAATGTAAGTTACAAGCTTGACTATATATATATATATATATGTTCTCATATTATTAATATTTTCTTATGTTGATATTTCAACGAATACAATTAAGCCATTAGGATTTCGTGGAAATTTAGAGTGGGGTTTTTTGCTAAAACTTGCACAATTTTTTTTTTTGTAAAAATATAAAAATTCTAGTGCGTTTTGTTCTGAAAATATCCCTTTTTTCTAATATGCGTAATCAGAACCCCTTTGTTAATTATTTTTATTGGAAAATTTTAACTTATTTTTTCTCCCATTTTTGGAAACTTTTAATAAAAATGTAAAGTCGCTATATATATAGAAGATTTACGGTTTTATTTTTTGGCATATTCTTGATTTGGAGAATTTAAAGAAAACATAAAGAAACATCTTGTATATATATTGACTATTATTTTACAAATAACTTTAAATAAAAGCAATGGATCTTTATTATGTAGGAAGTTTTCAAATACGTGTTCGAGAAATATCTTAAAACTTGATCTTCGGTGAAAACGTTTTAAATAGAAATTTAGATTTAGGTAAAGGATTCTTTTTTAGGTGAACTGGAATAATCAATTTATTTTTCTTTCATGGAATGAAGTAAGAAAATAAGATATTATAAATGTTATTAATATTTACCGCTAAATTTATAAAAAATAGATACAAACACAAAAAATTTCATTTGATTTATTTTCTTACAAACAAATTCTTAAAATGTATCTTTTTTTGATGAAAACTAAAATTAATATATCTGTATTTAGAAATATATTTTGTGATAGTAAAAGGTTCAAAAAATAAATTTTTATTTGAGATCGTAAATTTTGTTGGACATTTTTTTCTCTTTTCGAACCCTATAACGGTTGGGTAATTTTATATAGATTCTGAGAATAACGACTTTGAAACACTGTAGTATTATTACTAATCATTTTATTTAATATTTTCCTAATGCATTGAAACAGGCAATTGAAGATACGTATTTAATAGCTGAAACCAATTAGTTTAATATTCCAAAGAATAAGTTTAAACATTAAAAAAAATCTCATCCATATCGAAAATTTTCATCTCTAAGAATACTTTTAAAATATTGTTATATATCGTTTTGAATTTAACCAAAACTTTTTTCCTAGAGAAAAAAAAATTATTAATTTATTAGACATTTATTTTTTTGCACGTAAAATGTTTACATTAAGAAAAATGCTCTGGTATAACATTCTGATATACTGTTATGGTTTCCTTTATACCGCATTTAAAACATTAGAAATCATTTACATTATTATGTTCTTTTTAAATTGTGTATTAGAAACTGAAAAAGGTTGTATGACTAATACATAAATAGAGTCCCTTGAATGTGTTTTTTTCTAAAGTGCATTTTAAGCTTTTTTTTTCAAGAAAGCTATAGAGATTTGATATATATATATATATTATATCTTTTTGTGTTTAAAAAAATGAGTCTGATAAGTAATTTTATTCCGCATGCTGCATACTCAGATCCATTCCAATTCTACATTCGTGATTGCACCTGACAGAATATAAACTGAATTTCAATTTTATGCCTACACGGAATTCATTTTCCTCTGCGTGAACCATTTCTCAACATACCTCCCCCATATAGATAAGTCTGAACCGATGATAAAATAAATTCTTCAAACACAACACTCATCTTGTTCAACGTTTCGGGACACCTTGGGAGCCATTTTACACATTTTCGAA